TCATCTCGTATCTCCTACTGACACTACCTTCTTCCCCCGAATACAACATTCGGTCATTATAGCTGTATCTGAGGCATCTTTCCGTCTAGATACAGCTATAATGACTGTACGTTGTATTCGAGGGAAGAAGGTAGGATTTTTCTGACGGCAATGATGCCTGGAATCATGCCCGTAGCTGAGTCTAGAAGGGTCTTAGGGCGTCGCTGCACTCCTCCGGAAATGCACAAAAGACAAAAAACATGGCGATGTATATTCCCTTGTTCTAGGGGAAGATTCACTCTCGTTTTGCACATTTCGAGAGTGGTGGAGCAAGGCCCATTGTCAGGTGTATCCGTTGTCCAAAAACGGGAAGCGAAGCCCATTGTCAGGAGTATCCATTGTCCAAAAACGGAGCCACGCCCCATGAGGATGGGCCTCGCTCCAGTACTCTCGAAATGTGCGAAAAGAGAGTGAATCTTCCGCTAGAACATGGAAAGATACACCGCCATGATTTTTGTCTTTTGTGCATTTTGAGAGCAGTGGAGCAAGGCCCGATGTCACGGATGTTCTCTCTCTCTCTTTTTTTTTTTTTTAGCAAGGCCACCAAGGAAACTCAACTGTCAGTTCTGTCGTTTTCTATATCTGGAAGTAATGAGAGGAAAGCAATGGTTCCACAGATTCGTCCTCATCATGATTATATTGGACCTCTGAAAGGACTCGGATACACTGGAGATAGCATCGAGTTGTGCACAGCAAACATGACGACACACTGAGTTTTTGGGGCAGCGCGGCCCTGAAAAAAATTTGCGCGAGCGATGTCCGAATTTTAGCTGGGCGTGGGAACTTCGATTCACCCTCTCCCCAACTTTTTTTTTTTTTTGGTTGACCCCGATTTTTGCCCATGCGGCGCACCGGGTGCGAGCGCCACGTGCGCAATGCGCAGTGCGCCGCATGTGCGGGAATGGCGCGCATGGGATGCGCCGCAAGTATGGTTAATAACCATGGTTGAGATGGTAATTAAAGATCGTTACGGTTGCTGCAGTTACTGCAGTTAACCCAGTTACCCTGGTTACCACAGTCGAAGTGCTGCGGTTACTGACGTTCGTAACTTAACACCAACTTGCACCAACAGTTTCACTGCGACATTTTGTGTTACCGACACCACAATTCCACAGTTACTGCAGCGAACCCAGTTCCAGTTACCCTCGTTACCACAGTCGAAATGCTGCGGTTACTTACCACAGTCTAAATACCGCGGTTACTGAGTATTAGATTGGAATCTAGATTGGTGTTGAAACTCCCATGCATACACTGTACAGACACAGTACAGTAGCAACAATAGTCACAAGGCAAATTGTCTTCTTCTTTCGCTAGCCAAGGCAAAAGCAACGTTGCCGCCCAAGAAAAGACTCTTCTTTTACAACTTCTTTCGTCTTCTTCTTCTTCTTCTTCTTCTTCCTCCCACACCACCGTTTCTGCTCTCTATGTCGTGGTCCCACCGCAGACACAGACACAGTACAATAGTGCAAAGGCAAATGGTCCACTTTTGCTGCCCAAGGCAAAGACAAAGTTGCTGCCGAAGGCAAATTTCTATTAATTAATATATATTTATCATTTCATTTCTCATGGAAAAGAGAGCCCGGGGATTCCTCATAAACAACCCGGAAAGTACTGGGGCCATTACCCAGGTTCGGCTTGTGCTAGAAACCGGGTCCAGCATCCCTGACTTTTCCTCACAGAAACTTCCACCGAAAACCTGTTGAAGCACAGGCTGGTGTAACCAGCTCCTCTCAAATGTCCAAAGGCAACCAGATCCAAAGCTAGGCCATGCCTACGTAGCCTAAGCCGACCGCTAAATCTCCTAGCTATATCAAGAAGTTTTAGGAATTTCAGAAATTTTAGAAATTTTACCGACAGTAATGATTGCGCATGATGGTTCATTTGTGATTAAAAAAATCATAAAATTGAATGACATTGGCGAAATCACGCTCGCGCCACCGGTAAGCGCTAACGCAGCGCATCGCAGCGCTAATTTTCGTGCCGCGCCGCCGCGCGGGGCAATGCCACAAGCGGTACGCCCAGCTGCCTACGCACGTGCGCG